CTAACCTTGGAATGATGGGATCCTGTATGCCATACTCAACCTGAGGAAACAGAACCCATCCAGTCTGGAATTATGAACACTCATAATCACTCCCCAACCATGTAGGTTGCTCCTAGAATGATGGGGAAGATGTGGAACAAACTGTGCTCAACCAAGGACCCAGTGTGGGATCACTCTGCATTTGGAATTACAAAGAGACAATGGACCCTCTTCCATGAACGATGTACTGAACCAATATTGATCGAAAAGAAGGGCCACGCTCAACACAACTGGATAATTGAGCATCAAATCTGAACCAGTATTATGAGTTGACTCTCAAGTAGACTGGTGCTACTCCTACCAACATCTGGGAAAAAACATCCAGGGTCCCAGGTAGGAGGGCCCCCAACTTCCTCCTCTTCTCCAAAAGTGCAGAAAAGTCACTCGAACACTCTGGAGGAATAACCTATGTCCACCACCCCAGTGACCGGAAACAGGGAGTGGTAAGCACTCACTAGCTCCACTTATGCTTTACTCATGATAGTCCATGAGTGGCAGTCCAGCATAGTACAGTAATACCCCCTGGTCTGCCTCTAGGTGGTCTTATGAAACACCTCATTTCTACAGAGCCTATTGCAACCTAGATAAAGTATATTGTGTTTGTGGTTGCCAATGAACATTTGGCTTGATAAAAGCACACCTGACTGGGTAACAGTCGCCACAGAGTGTAATCCTGTTAAAAAGAGGGAAGGGACCCTGGAGCGGAAAGAAGATATGAGATTAAGAATGAAAATACTCATCCCTCTTTATAATCTAGCAGATGTGGTTAATATAGCTATAGGGGGCACTCAAAAATCCTCAGAGAAACATACTGCCAGATCCTGCAAATGTGAGATAAAAGTATTGAGGCAATTCAACCAGGCTGCTAAGGGCATAGAATGCAATGAATCTGATGAGACATGACTTGCAAAAGTCTCCTTGCCTCCAAAGAAAGTCCAGAATAAGCAATATAGATCAATTTTCATATCCACCCCTTCAAGGTAGCTAGAGATACATCCTGGGAAACTAAAGGGACACAATGAATAAATAACTGTTGTCTAGCACCTCTAAAAGCTTTAGTGCAGGCAACCTAACACATCAAGGCTTGCAATGGACATAACAAATTATTGGGATCTAATCTGTCATAGAGGTGAGAAATAGCAGTCAGATGAATGGATGAAAATGATTCATTCCTTTCCCTGGCAGCCAGTGTCTTATGTAAGAAGGACCTGTCTGTGTATAGAAGAATGTATGTAGAATGATAAAGTGTCCTGTGTCCATGCAGTGCACACAACTTGGACTAGCAATGGCTGCATGTCAGCAGCAAAAAAATAAACTTTAAGAGAAAGGTGATAGATGGTACATGAGGCTAAGGGTTCAAATGGATGTCAAGAGAGAGCATTTAACACCGCCTTTATATCCCAGGTGAGTAACTGAAATGGTCGTTTGGGAAAAAGGACTTGAAATGACTTGAGGATGCCAGAGAGCACTGGGGATTCAAAGAATGTCCATCTCTTCAAGTATCTAAAGGTAGTCGATATGGTGATTGTGGAAGATGCAAAACCCTTGTCGAAGAGCCAGGTCAAAACTGAGCTATGGTTGGCACGTATGGACAGAGTAGGTTCAACCTCCTCACAATACATCAGTGTCAATACATGTGCCATTTATGTAAATAAATGTCCATCATGGGATGATGCAAAGACTGAGATAGGTAAATAGCAACCAGAGAAATTAAACTCTGATGCTGTGCAAAGAACTGCATAACCACCATGCATGAAGCTTGAGCTCCAGGATGGATGGGTGTAAGATCATGGCTGCCTCAACAGAGACAACCAAAGAGGGAGTGGAAGAGATGGGCACTCCTGAAGGTACCGGAGAAACAGAAACCATGTTTGAGCCAGCCAATCTGGTACTACAAATAGAATGTGACAAAGGGTTGAACAAATCATTGCTAAAACTCTGGGCAACAGACAAATTGGTGAGAAGGCATATAGGTGCAATCCAGTCCAGTCCTGACTGAATGCATCTCTTTCCAATGCCTGAGAGTGAGGTACTGGAGACCACAATGCCAGTAGTTGAATGGTCCAATAAGTGGCAAATGCATCGATCATTGATGTCATGAATCAAGAGCAAATCCAACAGAAAAACCCTCGATAAAGCATCCATTCTGTTGAGAGAATCTGGTTCGATCAAGAAAAGTAATCCACCACCAAATTTGTTACCTCTAGAATATGGCAAGCTAGTAGGATGATATGACGGGAGTGGGGGTCAATATAGAAGATCCAAGGTTCGAAAACAAAGAGACCTGGACCAAGTATCCCCCTTTAAAGGAAATGTAAGACATCACCATAGAATTGTTGTAGAGTGAAGCATGACAACTTTGCCCCTCAATAATTCCTGAACTTGAGATATCACCCATTGAACAGCAAGAAGTTCTAAAACATTGATGTGGAGGGAAACCTCATCATCCATCAAGAGGGTGTGGAATTCTTGTCCGTTGATATATGCATCCTATCCCTGAAGCAAGGTAACCATGAAAAGATGAATCTCTGGGTGATGTGGCAGCAGAGGAACACCAATCATAGTATTTTCCGATCTAGCCACCACTCAAGATCAAAGATGTTGATCCTGAATAAGGAGACTGAGGAAACTAGTGGATCACTGTTCATGATCCATTGGTCATGTAGAAAGAACTGAAGAGATCTCATGTGCACTCCTCCCAAAGGAATTTAAGTGATGCCCACATCCCCAAAAGAGAAAGAACCATCTGTGTAGTGGGAGAAGGAAACGTGAGTAAGAGTCGGACTGCCTGTTCCATAGTGTGGAGCCAGATGGGAGTTAGCTGAGCCCGACTGAGATACGTGTTGAAAAAGACACCCAGATGGATTATATATTGTGTTGGAGTGAAAAGAGATCTCACAGCTTTGATAAGAAATCCTGCCTTGGTTGCTTTGGAAAGCAGTATCCTGGTGTGATGTTCCGCCAACTGACGAGATGGTGCCAGTAGTAGCCAGTCGTCCATGGAATTGTGTGTGCACAGGCCCAGTAAATGGAAGTGAGGAGAAAAGACTAATATGATTTGGCAAAACACATAAGGAACTGATGCTAATCCAAAAGGCAAAGCCCTGAACTGCTGCACCTGACCCATGTGTGCACAAAATGCAGATAGTGTAGGGACAACTTCACTATGGGAACATGAAGATAGGTGTCAGCAACACTGAACTTGGGCATCCACAGTCCTGATGAAAAATACCACTGCAGAGTGACGAATAACTCCATCATGAACTTTGGAGGATCTAGGTATTTATGTAGATGAGAAAGATCAATGACTAGATACCAATCTCCTGTCTTCTTGTGCACAACAACCAGATGGGAATAAAACCCAGCTCAAGGTATCGCCAATGGTCATACTACAGAGAAACCCATTAGTGAACGCTTTGTTGAGAAAAAGTGACAATATTGTTTGAAAGAGGTGCTTATATATAGTACCAAGATAGAGGGCACACTGACATAGGTGGAGAGTGTCATGAGACAAATATCATCAAGAGCAATTAAGTGGGAAGTAAAAACTGGAGCAAGCGAGAAAGAAACAGACCAATGCTTAGATGGGCAAGGGAAAAGAAACCCTAGCAGTCGAGAAATATCTGTAGTGTGAGAAGAGGTAAGTATGTTTTGGAAATGCCTTTGAAAAATATGAATATTATTATTATGGTTTAAAAAAGGTATGATTTTGTTCACTGGATTTCTTTTTTTTAACATTATTGTAACCCCCTTCCAAAAATGATCTTGTTTTATTTAGAGATGAATTATTATTAGTAACTGACTGTCACATTTTTCACCGGAGACAAATGCTTTCTTTCTTTGCCTTGCACCATAACCACTGTAATGAATAAACACATATAATTTTGTGTTCACTACCATTTTTGACATGTAAAAACAGAAAAACAAGTTAACTAGTGTCATCTTTATTTTTTGTAGTTTCTTTTACACTGTACATTTTAAGATAGTTTGCTTCTATTAGCTAGCATTTTGAAAAAATTATAAGTCTGCCTAAATAATAATTAATGTAATAAGCTATAAATTCACAACTGTACTAATTAGAATGTGTTATTCTTTTAAATAAATCAAACTAAAAACAGAGTTAACCAAATATTGAATTAATTTTTCAAATCCTTTCAAAGTTACGCAAAAACCTAATTATTGTTAAAACATTCAGCTTAAATGGTATTAAAATAAGTCATAACTACCTTCAAATAGTTATTTTTTCAAAAAACAAACAAACTTGTATTCATTCAGAAAGGCTGATTTTACATTATATTACCTGTGCTAACTGAGTGAAGTTATAATGTAAATACCATATGACTGACAAATAATTTTGTTATAAACAGAATAAGTACATGTACATCTAACATCATTATGAGCTTCTACCCTACTCTTAAATTCCTAAATTATTAGTTAGCCAGCACAGTGTAGATTATGTACAAGAATAGCCATGATAGCAGTTCCAGGAAGTTTAAAATTTGATTGGTAGCCACTGTTCAAAACATGTACACTGTTAGTACATACTGTAAATGTATGCTCTCTCACCTCCAACAGCTTGCCCTGTATTGTTATGGTAAGCAAATTTATGTTATCCATGAAACTGTGTACAATGTGGAACTGTTATGAAATAATTATTCACTGTGCAATGATTTATATCCAGTGACTGATGAAAAAATATAATTTTAAAGGACAAAAACTATTTTTTGCTGAAAATAAAAAAAACAAGATATCTTCATTTCATCAATGATGGCTTTTCAAAAAGAAGACAACCCAGCATAACAGAAAAGACAAATACAAGTAAAAATTCAGTTGCTAAATTCAAAAGAGAGATAACTTACCAATACCAGCTTGGCCAACTACCCAAGAAAGTCGTATAAAAAGCATTACTCCCCAGATGTTCAGTAAACATCTTACCTATACAAAATTATAAACACTGAAAGTTTAGCCCTACTTTGATAAACTAATGTTATTAAGTTTGCCAGTTAAATAAAGTCTATATTTTGTTTAACAACATGGTTTCTCAGGGATCAATTATGAAAACAAGATGAAAAGAAAAATCAGCTCTCTTTCATTTTTTGTTTTTACAGAAAACTATTACAGGTTTTACCACTAGTTTATTAGTATCTTAGTTTCATTTGTTACTGAAAAAGAGTATTATGTATTTCTTTCAATTTGACCCTTAGATGTATAAAAGAACAAAAAGACTAAGCAAAATACATTCTGAAATTATAATTATTATATTTTATGGTATATTTTCTTTAAGACTGGTGTGTATCTGTTAAGATGATTAAAATAATAACTCACATCAAAATTATTCATTAAAAGTACCATAAAATAGGTGAAATATTCTTTTAACATGCAGCCTTTTAAACTTAAAGTTTAAAAGATATCTATATTCATTTTTAAACAATAAAAAGATCATACATCTCTTACTAGTAAGTTTATTTACTAAATCTTAACTTGAAAGAATTAAGCACATCAATACACATCAATTCACCAAGTAAGCAAAGTTGTAGAAAACTATTCTTCATATAAAGTAAGTAAGGTAGAGACAATGGATAAAGAAAAAGATAAACTTTGGAAAATGACAGTTGGATTTAGAGAGAGTAGTTTAAACTTTTGCACACAAAAAATATAGTGGCTAACAATGACTTTCAGGAAGTTGAAAAAAATACTAGTAATGAGGTTAATTATATTCAGTAGGTTCTATTAAGTAACAGGTTTCAGCTTTTAGCTTGTGCAGATGAGGAACTAGGGGAGGGAATGATAAAAGGGATAGATAGGGATAGGAATGAAAAATATAAGGAGGTTATAGCTATAGGTGATTCCTTAGTATGACATGTGTATAGGATAGTCTGTGGGGTAAATATGGAGAAAAGAATTAGGTTATGCTATCCTGGGGCAAAGATGGAGGATATAGCTGGCAGAACAAGTGATATAGTAAAGGGTATATCAGAGGAGTTAATTGTTACATACAAGGCATTGACAAAGGCATTCAAAGAAAAACTTAATTAAGACACAGATACTGCCAAGATGTAATTGTGAGGATGAGCTTATAAGTCGGTCACTGAATGAAAGGTTTAGGTCAATATATGAGGCTGAGCAGGTTGGATGTTTGAATTTGTGTGATCAGTTCAATGGGAAAAGGAAAGTTTTTGAAATGGATGGTTTACACCTAAATAAAGTAGGGGCAGGTTTGTTTGTAAAAATTATTAACTCAACTATAAGGGCAGCTTTAAACTAGGACTAGGCAGTGGTGAGGACCAGAATAATTAAGAAAAAATAGGATGTATAGAAAAGTATAGTACAAAAGTAGTTTTAATGATAGGATAAACTGTTATTACTGTAATACAAAGAGTATAAAAAATAAAATTATGATCAGACCATAGTATTCTGATGTCATTGAAATAACTGACATTTGGCAAAATGTTAACAGTTTTGATGACTGGAATTTCTTTGAAATACAAGATTTATAGTTTCTTTAATAGATATAAAGTAGAGGGAGGATGAGTGGCTTTGCATAAAATGTGAGTTACAGCCTGTTTAAGTTGAGGATATCAAGGCTAATACCAATGAGGTTGAATCTCTTTGGGTTTTTGTGAGTGGTTATAAGGGGAGAAGGCTATTATTTGAAATTTGTTACAGACCACCAGATGAAATTAATGAGAAACTACAATGAGATAAAGAATTCAACTGTTAGTGAGGTTATAATTATGGTCTATTTGAATTTCAGGCATATAGATTAGGAAATGTTACAGTCAAATCATAAGGGAGACAGGATTTTTGAAACTGCTCAAGATGGTTTTCTTCAACAGTTGGTTAGGGAACCTACTAGGAACAATGCTATTTTGTTAACTTCTAATAAATAAATGGTTAATAGCGTAGAGACTTGGGAACATCTGAGTGCAAAGTGATCATTACATTGCTCAATTAGATTTGATGTTTTGCTGAGATTTTGGTTCAATATTTCAAAAAGGTAAACTTTGAAGGGATAACACAAGAATTATCTGCTGTGTATTGGACAATTGAATCAATTGGAGATACTGATCAAGTGTGGAAAAGTTTATAAATAAATTCTCAAATATTCAGGATAGGCAAGCTCCTTATAGAAAAAATGGATGACTGCAAGTAAAAAACCAGGTTGGCTCATAAAAGGTATAAATGATAAAATTAAAGAAAAGCATTGTAAATATAAGAAGTTTAAATTGATTGAAATTATAGGAGACTTGGAGAATTATTGAAAATCAAGAGAGTTGGTCAAATGGGAAATTAGGAAATCAAAAAGAACATGAAAAATGGTTGACTGAAAATGTAAAAATTAATAGTAAGGATTTCTTTAAATACATTAAAGGTAAACAAAATGTTAGGATGGGAGTAGTGCCTTTGAGAAATGATACAGGAAGACTAATATCTAATGATTCTGGGATGGCTGGGTTAATAAATTTTACTTTAAGAAAAATTTTACAAATGAAGATTTAAGCAATCTGTTCATCCTGAACAGCTGCTTGGAGGAAACAAGATTCAACAAGATGATCTCATTAATTTTGAGCTTATTAAGAAAACATTAGGAAGTTTAAAGAATGATAAATCTCCTGGGCCAAATAATATTTACCCAAGGGTTTTGAAGAAGGTTAAGGATTGGGTATGTGATTCACCTTCTATTATTTTTTCTGAGTCCCTCAATAGTAAGCAAATGCCAAAAGATTAGACGTTTGCTAATGTTACTCCTCTTTTCACAAGAGGCAATAAAATTGTCTTGATAATTATAGGCCTATTAGTTTTATCAGTGGTGGGAAAACTTTTGAAAGTCTGAAAAAAATGTTTTCCAACGTTATTTAACAATATCTTTTCCACAAAAACTTCTAAGATAAAAATATTTTTGCACAAAATTTATATAAATTGACTTACCAGCACTCCCTTGATCCATCCTAACTTTATAGCTTCACTGGGCACAACATCATCAACACCAAGTTTACTATGCTTATAAAGATTCTGTAAAAAAAATAATATATATATATATATATATATAATGTTTATTCCATAGCTTCAACTGTGTGTGTACAATACATATATATAAACACATAAATACATAAACACACAAACATATACGTATCCAAACATAACTACAATTTCTAATGAAACATGTAACACAGAAACTTTTTGACAGATTAATTCCAGAATGAATTTCTCATTTCTATGTTCTGGAAAATTCTGTTTTTCAGGCAACTTTCACAGCCTAAAAGTATCCTTCCACCAACCTGAAAATACATAAACCAACCTTAGCTAAACAAAGTTATAAAAAAAAGTCATAGTCCATATAATTATACAATATGTTATCCATTTTGTTTGTTTATAGTTAAATACAAAACTACACAATCAGCTGTCTGTGCTGTGCTCAGCACAGGTGTCAAAAACCAGTTTTTAGGACTATAAGTCCACAGACTTACCACTATGTTACTAGAGAGCTAAATTATTTCTATAATTATACAATAATGAGAAATTCCACTGAACAAAGTGATTAAAAACATCAATAACATTCTCCATTTAAAGTACAATTAAATACCTTGATCAAATAGTTATGAGAACAATCTATCCTTTAATGCTTCATATGAACAGAATGGGAACCATAAAAAGAAAGGTTCCTTCAATGAACTATATTTTTTATATTTGTTAATATGTTTCAACAGACCAGAGCTTGGAGTTCACCCATGAGACATATCTTGGTTCATCCTAAATCTAAAATTTTCCATTTGACAGTATATTTGATATTAAATGTGTAAATGTATGTAAAAATCCCTTAATGTTTCACAAACTTACCAGTTTATAGCTTAGAACATACTAATGTTACAACAACTCCACTGGAAATCATTCATTCACACAAACTTTTCTATAGATTAGAAGGCCCTATAAAACACTGAACAACATCCAAGTCATGAACCTACTTCAAACAGATAATCATTTACTAGGGTTATCAAATATATCGGTCATAGTCATAATATCGTGAAGAACAGAACCAGCATACTTTGAACCTTCCAAATATAGTTTAATTGTTAAAAGCTTATTATACTATTACTGAAATGATTATAACGTTATATTTTGACTGGCTAGATTAATAACAAGTCCATCATTTTGGATCTTATTAGTAATAATAAATTAGCCTAATGTGTTAATCATTCTGCTTTCTATAATTCAAGACTTTGTTGCAAGTTTATCACAGTGATGAAACTGATAATATTAAGCAAATTGATCTGAAATAGCCTGACATAACACTAACAGCCAAATGTGCAGGATTGGATTAGCATTCAAGAAGAAAGTACACCTTATCATCTTTATTATTGTGCTCAAATATGTATTCAGTATACAGTAGTTTATATTTTGCCAAAGTAAAAAATGGCAGTTTTATGAATGAGGGTGCACTACAAAGTCACTGTCTGGTTTTCAAATTATTCTGAAAAGGATACAACAGATGAAATATCCTGTATATCAATGTTCATAGTGATCTAACTTCATTTTCAGTAATGTTTAATCTAATCTCATGTGTTAAGGGTGTTGTGTGAATTGTGATCGAGTGACGTTCTATCAATCTTTGTGTATTTACGAACGCCAGTGCCGTTATTTTTGTAGCTTCTATGCTGTTCGACCACACAAATGACTTAATCACCTTAATTGACCTCTATCATACCGCACTTTGTCAAGTCCTGTTTATTCAAAGTTCTGACACGTTAATTCGGGTGGGCTACATGCAGTATAGTACAGTGTAGCCTTTATGAACAGCTACTGTGATACGCCGCGTGTGTCATCACACTGTCAATAGTACTGCCTTCGTATATTATTCATCATTCTTTTTTTTTCTTCTTCTTTTTGACCTTTGTTTCTTCTTGAATAACTCCACGAGTAGTGTAACGTGCCAATGTTCTGCTTACATATATTTCTGTTATCTACATTTCATTTCTTCCGATGTTATTTGTCTGTTTATCTGCGTGAATGAATTCCCGTATTTTGTTGGAGCTGTACTTTACCCAAACATACAAGTTTGTATGAGGCACTGACGAATCACATGCCATTACAACATCGCTACGTCATTCTGTGCTCAGTACTACAACAAATACATGCTATGTTTTCCAAACAAAACGATAAAAAACTGTATTTGATAGGTAACATACACGAGTTATTCTTGGCATAACAGCACAGACTATAAAAATAATTTATAAACTTTATGGTCATTTTCACTGTTAAAGACGGCTAACCGGTTATGCCACTAAATCTTATACTTAGCACTCATTGTGTATATAATTAATTCTATCAACCATCCAAATTCTATCCCTGTTCTTTTTAATTTGAAAGTCATCAGGGGAAAAAATGGACTGATATATCACGACCAATCTATCCAAAGGAGTGAAAGAATAATTCCATGCTTTATTATAATTAATGCTTGCCTTTTTAATACAGCGGTATGTCTACGGACTTACAACATTAGAAACCGTGTTTTGATACTTGTGGTGGGCAGAGCACAGATAGCCCATGTGTAGCTTTGTGCTTAACTTCAAACAAACTAATAAAACAAAAAGCCTTTTTAATCGTTTTACTCAGAATACTAAACATTTTAATATCGCGTCTACCTCAAGCAACTGCGCACATAAAGCAACTTTACAAAAAGGCCTAACAGAGTGACACCTAACATGTTATACATATAGCTACTACTACCACGAAGATATTATTGAGTACTGTACTAGGATGTCTGGATGTGTGATATTGTGGATCAGTAAAATTATGACAATATCTAGGATAAACATGGCATACAGTCACTTGATCTTCGCAACAACTATATTCGTAGACCTACTATCTTGAAAGGACATAGTGGTTTCTAGTAGCAAAATGAATCTCACACGATCAGCAGATTAGAGGGTATAACCACCAGAAACTGTGTTAATTTTTTCCCGTTAGCACAGATTCAAACTGGAGACCTCTTGCACACCAGGCGAGTATTCTACTGAGCTAAAAGACTAACTTACCAATACTTTCTAGTAAGACTCTATTTAATAACTCAAACCACCACATTCCTCCTCTCCTCTCAAAAATATGGACCGTCCTCACAGACCTTATCTCAGATAAAATGGGATAAAATACAACTATCGTATGAAACAATAGATAGTTTCTATGATCAGACCTTATAACAGAAAGTAACACATAGTACCGAATTTAACAAAAGAATTCAACTAGATTTAGAATGTTCCCCATTAAAACTTAGAAAAATGTTGATATGAAATTAAATTAGAAGAGTAAGGTATGTAGTACTCACATAATGCAATCTTTTCTCTCTTATCTTGGCTTGCCTTCAAACCAACTTTAACACCAATTTAAAATTTACAGCATGATCCGTGATACTGGTAACCATCAGTTAGGCTGTACACAGAGCAATAGAACAGTAGGAATAAGATGGTAATACACTAGATGAAGTACATATAGGTGAGGCTCAGAATACTACAAATTTCCTCATCTAATACAAAATACTGCCCTGCATGGCCAGGTGGTTAGGGCGCTCGACTCGCAATCTGCGGGTCACGGGTTCGAATCCCCGTCCCACCAAACATGCTCGCCCTCTCAGCCGTGGGGGCGTTATAATGTGATGGTCAATCCCACTATTCGTTGGTAAAAGAGTTGGCGGTGGGTGGTGATGACTAGCTGCCTTCCCTCTAGTCTTACACTGGTAAATTAGGGACGGCTAGCGCAGATAGCCCTCATGCAGCTTTGCACGAAATCCATAACAAACAAACATACAAAATAATATCTAAAGTTCTAAACAAATAAGCAGAAACTCCTTTATGCACAAAATAAAAACTCTTTACATTAAAAATATACAATTAAAATCAAACTGACCCTTTCAACTTAACAAATATGAAATATATGCAAGGTTATTAAACCTTTATTTACAACATGAACACACACACACACACAAATATATATGCATATAATTCAGAAAATAAAGTCCTTCAAATGTCAAAAATAACAAGGTTGTCAAGGGCCTGTCAAACTTTCTTTGCATTTTACAAAACATTTAGTCATATCCTGAAAATTACTGACCCGTTTGCCAAAAAAACATTGGTAAGTTTCTCTTTCATGTCTAGCAGTTATTTAAAGTATGTATTAAAATTATCATTCTTTCTCCTTTTTATACCAATACCAAAAAACACAAATCATCATCATAATAATAAAACATGAAAATACAAAAATGGGAGAGATAGACATGTACTTGATGTTAACACATAAAAGTGAAAAAATAACAAAACAATAATCTGCTGATTATGCACTTAAAAATAAAATAAAAACTAAAAATAACCACTAAAATCAAACTCAAGATAAAAATAGCAAAGATAATGAGTTATTGATAATATGTAATACTATACAAAATGAAATTGAAGTAAAAGAAGCAAAAATATAAAGAAATACATCATATTCATGTGATAAAAAAATATGTATGAAATCATGTAACACAGAACATATTTTAAACAAGATCACACAGTAACAGCAAGAAAAATCACCTTTTATAATGCTATAAAAATTGAGCCCATTTTTTAAAATAAATTAGGTTATTTGTTTTAGTGCAAAGTTACACAATATATGATCTGTCCACCATGAGGAATTGGACACTGGATTTAATGTTATAAGCACATAAACTTACCACTGATCCACTATGGGACAAATAAATCAGTATGCACATATATAAAAAAGCTCAAACAAAACAAAACAGAAAGACACTTCAAATCACTGAATAATATGTATATAAAAATTTGCTTTATTATACATTTATGTGTATTTTTTTGTATGTAATTAAGCACAGAGCTACACAATGGGTTATTTGTGCTCTACCCACCACGGTATTCAAACTTGGTTTTTAGCATTCTAAGTCCACAGACATACCGCTGTGCCAATGGGGGGTTTTAATATATATAACCTATACATTAGAAATGTCAAAATCTTTTCTATACAGTTTA